TACTGATATGATACAATGATATAGCCATATATGGCCTATAGCCCCTAAAGGTCCAAGGCTGAGCCCACAAATACGGAGGTCACCAGCAAAACCACAAACTGCGCGTATCGAGAGGGGAGGAATTGCACGACCTCAAGATTCCAAGTTGGTCCTCATGTATCATCTTGGGCTAGCTGGTGGGAGTGTCAAGGCTTGTCCAAGAAATCATTGGATTGTCTTTTAGAAGTCTACCAGATCAGAGATGCCAAGACATTAGCCCCAAATTCTCACATCGCAGTCAATACCTGCAAGACCCACCAGTCAATACCTGCTTAGAACGAGTCATGCAGAACAGAAGGGATAAGAGCCTGGTCTTCAACCTTCGGCAGTTCGTCTGCTCCCACTGCTCCCACTTCTGCCCTCGGTCCCCCATCGCACCTCCAGGTGCCCATGCCGTGCCGCACGGTGCAGCGGCGTCTGGTCGTCGACATCCCGGGCGGCCAGCAGGGCACGGACGCTTTGGTCTTCGAAGTCGGCGTGGTCCTTTGTTGGGCAAAGCCCAGGTAGGGGGCTCGTCGGTCCATGAAACCGGGCGGCAAGAGTAGGGCAAGGTGAGATGTAGTCAAATTTTGGAGTTCTGTGAGGAGATGGCGTGGGAGAACAAGTTGCCCAAAAAAATACAAGCATCGGCATTGTGCTGTCACCCACCTGAAGAAATACTTGAAGGGAAAAGCCAAAAGGATACCTTATTAGTTAGTAACAAGGCAGCTACTAGGTGGAGGCCATCGCTATTAGGTTGGAGGCCATCGCTACTAGTAACAAGAAGCTACTCAAGAAGCTACTAGACTAGAGAGAAGAGCCCTAAACGACACGTGGCTATGTCTGTTTAATGCCAAACCCATTGGGAGACGGCAAGGTATGAGTTCGTCTTTGTGTGGTTCCATGGATCCACGTGAAGCACACGGCCGCGCGGCCAGGACACTCAAAAAACTCTCAAACGTGTTTCAAGATCCGATGATCTTCCAGCGCTTGTTGCATCTTGTTACGAAGTGGCTTCGGGCTACTAGCGATGGCCTCCACCCTATCAGAGATGGCCTCCAACCTACCAGCTTCTTGCTTCAGTTGCTTACACAAAGAGCAAACAGTATGAACAGCTTGTTGCTCAACGATTGTCTGGTGTTGCGACTTTGGTCGAGGCATTGGGGTTCGAACACAACTCTCTGCAATCGATTGTGGGAGTCAATGGTTTGTTGTTCATCTACTCAGCAAACTATATCCTCCAACACTCAGAACTGGAATGTTGATGATCTTCTTCATCATAAAACATGCATTTAAATATACATATAAATACCCATGATATGACGTGACTTATGATATGATATTGATATGATGTGATGTGAATATCTGAAGAACCAACATCCAGAGACATCCAGAGACATGCTCCTCATCCTCCCTCCGAATCCTTCTCACCGCCCCTTCCAGGCTGCGCGTGCCGAGCGACGAAAATGCCCTCCACCTGCAAGGTGTCGCCTGGTGTCGGTGCGAACGACACCCGCCGGTGCCTTTCCGGCTCGCACACGCCTTCTCGACTGGATGGCTGGAATATGCTGGAATATTCCCCATTCAGAAAACAGGTAGGCATCCTCATTGAAGCAAACAAATAAGTTTTGACCAAGGCGAGTGCTTTGAAAAAGAATCCAGACCAGCAGAATATTACATTGCTTGGACACTTGAGACATGCCACGCCTGTCTCGTTTCAGACACCCCATTCGTGCCGTAGCAGTGCACCCTGGCCTTTTTTCGCAGCATCCAACAGCAAGTCTGCCAGCACTGGTAGGCTTAGAACCTCCCTGCTACGGGCTTGGCGTCGTCCTGGAGGCGAAAGAAGTATAGATTGATTTTGTGCTTTATCTGATGATATATGCAAGTTGATCTGTAGTGTCGGCTCTTGGCGAAGTTCGCGAACGACCCGATGCCCTGTTCAAGGATGCTTCCAGGCAACTGAATAGCAGGATCTCTACAAGTGGGCAAGCCATCTTTACCAAGACCAAGAAAACACATGCAACACCATGCAATGCACATTCCGGCACCTCAAAAAATATTTACGGAGGCCATCGCCAATAGCTTAAAGGCTATCGCTATTAGCTTGGAGGCCGTCGCTATTAGGTTGGTGGGTGTAGGGTATCTTCAGACTTCCACTTTCAGTCCACTCCCATGGTTCCCATCCAATCGCTCCCCATGAAACCGAGGACCGGTCCTGTCGAGGTCCAAGAGACTTGAAACCGCGGTGAGGGCGACCGATCGCGGTCCGGCGCCAGGGGCACCTTGTCCTGCGCGCGCAGCGGGGAAGTCCTGCGGGACCGGCCACTGCTCCGGGAACGGTGCGGAAGAGCCTCGCTTCGCCACACCTCCGAGATGGGAGCAGTGCCTGGCGGAGGGTGGAGGTGATTGGGGTGTAGAAGGTGGAGTCAGGTGGAGCGTCAACGCTTTCAGACGTCGAACAATCCCTCCCCCTTAGGTTGGAGGCCATTGCTATTGGTTAATAATATAAGTTTCCCTAAAGATCTAGGAACCAAATGAATAGTGCGAGCGCTTCTTCAAGGAAGCTCTCCCCCGCCCTCAGGTGCAGGGAGCTTCCTTGAAGAAGCGTGAGCTATCCTGCGTCCATGCTAGTAGCTACTTAAGCTACTAGCTACCTCTTCTACTAGCTACCTAGCTACCTCTACGCCCTACCCCCCCCTTAATAAAGAAAACATACTACACATCTGAAGCAAATGTTGCTTTCAGCATCTTTCAGCCACGCCTAACTTTCCAGACCCAGTGGAGCGCACATAGCGCTTCTCGCTCTCTGCTTTGGCGTTCCAGTGCGATCTCCAGGGAACCTTGGCCTCGTTCGGCTCCTTCGCTTTGGGCGATGCAGAGCCTGAGCAGCTCGAAACGTGCGATTAGGATTGGAATTGGCGGCCATATATCGATGTGGCTGGTGGATCTAAGTAGTGTGACCTAAACCATTTAGCTGTAGCATGTTATAGCGATATTTGTGTCCTACCAACGAGACATCCCATCTCGCCTGCCCGCGGGCTGCCGCTGCGGGCGTCGCGACTGCCCCGCAGTGCGCGCACCGCGCGCACTGTGGAGCCGCCGAAGCCCAGGAGCTCGGCGGCGGTGGGGCGTTCCATGGCGTGGAGACTCCGGCGGTCCGGTGGAGGTGCTGTGGGCATATGGATTGGTCGGTCCTTATGATCTCCAGTTGGATTGCTGTCCAGGATGGTCATTGACGGCAGTAGGGGATGGTCAGGATTCTTGTCCGATTCTTCTTCCTTTGATTTTGGACCTTGAGACCCAGACGGTCTTGGATGATTCCCTTAAGAGCTCTCAAAGAACCGGAAGGTAGAACCAAAGCACATCAAAGCACCGGAAGGTAGATGCCGGTAGTACCTTGAGCCTTTGGTAGTACTCCAAGGCTTTTGACCTCACAGATTGATGGGGATCAGACCTGTCAGACCTGTGACCTGTCACCGGAGTGAGCGGGTTGCCCGAGAGCACGGGGAGACGGAGGAAGACGAGAGTCGGTGCCGTGAAGCATTCGGCTCCGGGAACTGGTCCGGAGGTACCCGGACTCTCCAGCAGCAATTGAAAGAATACCTTTTACAAGATCAAAGGTGTTATGCTTAATAAAGTAGCCCATCTGCTACACTGAAGTGTAGCTCCCAGCTGTTCAAGCCGAACTGGCACCTTCGTTTTTTCGCATGCAAACGCTTGACCTGTACAAAGATGTGCGCTATGGAGGGCCTTGCTATCTCGAATTCTCCAGATTCACCTCCAAAACTTTGACGAGCGTCCTTTATGCGCCAAGCAGGATTCGATCCAAAACATGCTCCTCTTGGTGACCTGAAAAGGTCCAGTCATTGCTGTAGTTCATTCCAGAGAATCTCATTAAAGTTTGAGGGCGTCAACATCAGGAAGGGCACCCTGCAGCTTCTATGAATTTACAATGATCGCAAGGATCCAGACTCCAGACAATACATCTGACCAGCTGTGTCATTGTCTGCCAGTTCATAGACTCGGGTCATCTGTCAGATGGTGATCCCAAAAGTCATGGGATTCCAGCAATATTCCTGCGATTGTTCATTTGAGCAAGTACAGTTGCTCGCCCGGGCCCCAATCTCTCAGCATCCGCCCTAACAGCAAAGAAAACACACCCAGAGTAAGTTCATTGTTGGCACCTTTAGGGGATGCCTTTAAAGAATCTGTTGAGTTTTGTGAGGGTCTGTATTTCAGCGGTACCTAGCAGCAGCATGTTGCATCTGGCAAATGGCTGCTATCTACAGCGAAAGACACACCCACTCACCTTGGACACCACCGGAACATGTGTAAGTAATCAAGAGCAACGCTGATTCCTGCTGTTCTCGTCCCCACGAGTCATCTTGCTTTCCCAATGTAAAAGCGATGCTCGGCACATGAAAGCCTGCGGGTGAAACGATCCGGCCCTACACATGGCGCGGATGTTTGTCCACCTGGAAACACCGTCAAGCACCGTCGAATGCTCGGACGCTCTCTCCCACGAACATCATGGAGATTGAACACGCCTGTCTTGGCAAGCTAACTACAGGTCGTAACCATTCTTCGACGATCCATGATCCAGCCATCGTACGAGAATGGGCCACAGTCAATGTTGCTTTTCAGCCAAAGGAAAGGGTTGGAAAGGGAAATTGGTGCCCAAACGATCTTGTTGACAGCAAGCGTAGCGTATTCTATGACATGGCGCAGAACCGATCCACCTAGGCACAAATTGCTGTAGGTGTTTCCTGTGCTTCTGATGGTTCATTACTACTGGATTTGGAGCCCTCAATTCTCTTTGGAAGCCTCCGACGTTAGGCCGCACTGAGGTCACGCGTTGTCCTATCTCATTCCCTCATCCGGGGTACTACATGGCCTGCCTGGATGAAACAAATCCACAAACCTCACAGGGATCCCTGACGAAGTCAGGCGCGGATGTGAGATCAAGAAAGGGACAATTCTCTGGTTCCTCACGGTCGCATCATGTTCTTCTTCCAATCACTGGAACAAGTGGAATCCCTCCCCCCCTGAGAAGCTGCGTTTTACTGGGATGAATCCGCCACAGAGCTCACACCTCCACGGCCAACGTCTCGCCCGCCGACGTTCGTGGCGGTCGCTCCTTGGGAGTCCCGCGCATCGACGTCGCTGGGGGCACGGTGCGTCTGGGCCCTCGCTGGGCCAAAGATTCGAGCGAGAGCGACTGAAAAGGTTCCGTTTGTTTAGCTCTAGACTCTAGATCTATACATAGGATATATATATATATATACATATTATACAAGTATGGACAGTCAGTATGGATATATCTAACAATGGAATTTAAAAACCTCATGGAACGTCTGTTGATGTCTGTTAAGTAGTGTTAAGTTTGCCACGATGTGTTCTCAAATGTTACCCAGAGCTAGGATCATCTAGATGTCTTCAGGATCCCTCTCGGAGGTTCCTCCTGAAGTGCACTCACCCAACTCATCTGTTTTAGACCGGCCTGGTGGGAGGACGTTTAGACAAACATCACATGTTTGAGAGTCTTACTTCGCCCTCTATCATCTCCATTACTATAAGCGTCTATAGTAGTAAGAGCACCTAGAAATCCAATCCAGACCCCCTCCCAAATGGAATTACGGGTAAATGGACAAGTGCTCTTCCGAACGACCACCCCAAAAGTCATTCTCCGTTCGAATGCACCGGTCGTCAGTCTATGTATAAGCTCTACCATTGCCCGACTGCAATCCAAACCTAAATTTGTTGAACTGTTACAAGCAAAGTTCTCCAACATCATGTGGCGGCCCTGCATGCCAGTTGTCCGATCTCAATGGTCGATAACAGTAGCTCAGCTCAGCTCTACTGCAAACATGTTGGCAAAGCAAAGCTTCCCATTTCAGTCGCATGCCCGACATTCTTCCGACAGGGTCATTCACAGAATCCAAACTCATCAGAATGAGACTGAAAGGCGCGCTGCCTCAAATTTATGATGTTATATCTGCTGCCAGTACCAAGTTCAGTAGTGATGAGATCTGTTGAGCAAAGAACACTGTTTGTTTATCTGGATGATCTTGTCTTTCCGATTTGCGACAGCCGCACGATCACCGGATGTGGGTCTCATTCTGCTCCCGACGTGGTGTGCTCACTGCACGGCGCAAACAGAGCTCTTCCTGCCATCGATCAGGCAGTGAACGCGGGGCGTGCGAAGGACTTTCCAGCTTTTGACTCACAAGGAAGAGATGCCAAAAGGTCAAAGGTTAGCTGCTAATTACGGTCGATTTCTCAAATTCAAATTGGTCTTCAACTCACTTGGATTCACTTGGAAGCTTGGATGATCCTTTGTGTCCAGTGCACCTTGCAAGCCACCACATTCATCAGATCCAAATCTCACAAGCCAATGTCAAACACCAATAATGCCTTGTAGCATTGTAGCATACCATTTGCATTCCCCGTCGTGTTGACAGAAGTCATCTAGGATAGCTTTGACTAGTATCAACTACGGACTTGAGTGTTTCTCTGTTGCGTAGAGGCTTGATTCTTCCACTAAAGCAGTCCTATTCGCAAAATACATGCACCACTTCAAACGCAAAAGAAGGGAGGCCCATGCACTCCGTTCTAGACTGACGAGTTGCCCACTGAGCCACCAGGTCATCTCTCTTCCATCATGCACCTTCCAACTTATCTAAGCTCCCATTCCCCGCAGGGCCTGACAACACGAGGTGGTCCTGACCAATTCAAATCCACTTTGACCTGGCATCATCCACGGCTTTCTAGAAGTTTGGGGGAAGCGGGAAGCGGCTGAGAAGCTTGCTAAGTGTAGATCTCGGTGGTCGCCGTATCATTAAAAAAAAGTGGTTATGATCACTACTTGCTAGCTTTCTGTCTAAACACATTCATAAGCGGTCTGCCCTACTGCACATTAGAAGGATTCTGCTAGAGTAACAGTCACATAAAATAAGAAACTAAACCATCATCTAAGATATTCATGATATTCTAAGGTTCTCACTCCGACCTCTCCTTGTGAATCCGAAATCTTAAGAGTTTGCTCTTTCTGAGATCCAGGATCCTGCAGGCTCTGCATCGCTTCGTGATGAGAGTATATGAGAGTATATGAGAGTTATGAGCCTTTTGAGAACTCCCAAATTGCAGCATCAAACCGTCAGCCGCCCAAGTCTTAATTGATGTGAGACGGGAATTTCGCACATTAGACCCCCGGATTTTCCGTCGGTTCGGACGCGGAAGTTCGCACCTCGAACTGAGCAAAAACGGGGCGATGGTCTGAGCATTTCAGGCTGGGCACCTCGGGTGATGTTCTGACGGGTTGGAGGCCCAGCTCAGCGGAGGCCCAGTGCGTGGAGGGGAAAGCTAGGCCTGGCTTTTGACCTACACATATTGGAGCCATGCGACCGAAGCTGAAAACCATCTGAGCCATGTGAGTGTGTGTTTGTGTGTCCTGGGTAGTCCACTATTCTGCAAACTTTTGGGTGCTTGAGGACCCTAGACAGTCCTGTGATGAACGTAGCTAGCCAGGTCAAAGGAAGACGCTTTGTGTCGACATGTAACAGCTATCCACACCCAGGGGCCATTGCTTTGATCGCCAGCACATTATAGAAATCACACCTGCACACTCCCCTACGTGCTCCTGAACGCTAGCCGCCAGAGCTGTCGCTGAGTCCACAGCCCAGTCGTAGCTTAAAGACTTGATCGCCACGTCCTTCTTCCAAAGGATCCGATCCTCCCGAAGTCGTCGGACCGTCGCACAAAGGCGTCGTGGGAATGAGGGAGAATGGTCCTTCCCCAACACTCAGAGAGAGTGGCATTGGGTCGGTCTTGTCTGACACCAGCGGCGGGTTTCATGGATGAGAAAGTGGAAATCAGGACAAGTCACAAAGTCATTCGCACTCAACGTTTGGGTGTGCCCCAGTTGGAACAAATCACTGGAGAGCACCCTCAAGTTGCCTAGTTGCCCAATCCTCGGTTTATATTTTTGGGTTCTCACAGTTCGATCAAATGCTCAATCGCAGGAACTGCCTGCGAGACCTGCGAGACCTGGTTCTCTTGCCTTCGCCCTCAAAGGTAGGGGGATCACTCACCAAAGCTACACGCTCAGGTTGAATAGACAAGACACAGAAAAGACCCA